GACTTCGTAGTGATAGGGAAATTGAGTATGATTCCAGTTTATTTAATGAATTTTATAAACAACTTTGAATTGTACATGAAATTACTACACCATATTCTCCTGAAATGAATGGTAAAGAAGGAAGAAAGAATAAAACTCTTATTGAACTAGTCTTTGATATTATATTGAATTCTAGTGTTGCATCTCATTGACAGGGGAAATTTTTTAACTTTTTGCTAGGCCCTGAATAGAGTTCCCAAGTCTAAAAAATAAGATCTCTATTTATGAGATATTGTAGAAAATAAAATCAAACTTGCTAATTAAACTCTCTTTAGAGTTCCCATTGTATGGCTTATGTTAGGATTCCAGATCATAAGTGAATTAAACTTGCTAGTAGAGCTTTTGAATGTGTATTCATAGAGTATGTAACAGATGGTAAGGCATATATATTTTATGACTTAAATTCTAAAGTTATCATAGAATCAAATGGTGTTGAATTCTTGGAAAAAATTTCATTTCAAATTCAGAAATAGTAGGGACGCTGAATTGAATCAAATTTTTATGATAAGAAGCACAATAAACAACGACAAAGTAGAAAAAATCTTCAACGAAGTAAGAGAGTAAGAGTTGCAAAAGAATTTTAGCCTGATTATATGACCTATACATTAGAAGAAGATCCAATAAATCTTCAAGAAGTCTTGTCATCTCTATATACAAATTTATGGTAAGAAGCTATTAATGACGAGATAGATTTTCTAGAATCTAAAAGGACTTGACACTCAGTAGACTTTCCTCCTAGTTGTAAACTGTTAGAATAATAATGCAAGTGTGAGTAAGTGGAGAAAGGAAAATGTTTATTAGTAAGAAAATATGAAAGTAAGAAAGACAAGAATTAAATCTCAATCATTCATTACTAACACTACCATATCATTCCTATTAAAAATGAAATTAAATTTGAAATAAACTTAAAATTATCCTCTAAAACAACGACTAGTATACATTCTTGCCTTTCTTATTCAAATAATTCTTACTATATAACATTACTCGTGGGGAAATAGTCTCACATTAGATAGGAATGTGGTGACTTGAACATTTATAAGTGGGAGAACCTATTCACCCATCACCTTAAGATTTTAGATGGACAAGTGGTGTGTCTCTCACAAAGGTGTTGGGTGAGTAGGTGTGTCTTTTTTGGATAGGACTAGGCACCTTTGTGAGCTCCCCCAATAAATGATATCATGAGCCTTTAATTTTAAAAAAGAGATTGACTTACTTCTATTGAAAAGTACCCCACATGGACAAGAATGTTCATCGCTCGATTGTTACGCTAACACAAATCAATTTATTGCAAATAGATTTTAAAAAATAAACTAAAACTCGATGGAACATTTGATCATTACAAGTATTGTCTTGTAATAAAGGTTTTAGGAAAAAAGAAAAAATATATTTTTGAGATATCTTTTCTCTAGACACTAGAATAACATGAATTAGAATACTAAATTCAATTGATGTTATTTATAGATTAATGGTATATCAAATGAATGCTAAAACAATTTTTGAAATAATGACTTAAAAGAAAAAATATATCAACTACCTGGAAGAGTTTGTAATTTATAAGTAAGAAACATGATCTATAACACTAATGTAAAAAGAGGATTTTACACCTATTTGTTAGAGTTATTAATTCTAAAAATTGAATAGCGGTTAGCAGAATAGTTTTTTTATAAATAATAATAATAATAATAATAATAATAATAATAATAATAATAATAATATAATAATAATAATAATAATAATAATAATTATTATTATTATTATTATTATTATTATTATTATTATTATTATTATTATTATTATTATTATTATTATTGACTAATATTAATATATTATTATTTTATAGCGAGATAGACGACTGTTTTCTACTAGGATTAATGTATTATTTTTTAAGAGACTTAATAATCATTATTATGAGTTGTTTTTCTTGTAAAAAAAATTACTATCTTATTTTATTTTCAATAGTAAGAGGTCGCTGAAGCATAATGGTTTACAGCTGGGATATTGAATGCCTTTTCCATGATAACATGTTATCTTTATCACTTTTTTGCAGTGTTTTAAAACCTAGCTCGGCACGGTCGGTCGGACAGATTTGATCGAGAACCGGTGGGCAGGCGGTCCGATTAAGGGATAAGATCGAAATTATATTTAGACCGGATAAAACCGATGTGAACCGGCCGGATCACCGGTTAAATCAGTGAACTGACGATTTTTAATGAACCGGCGAGTTTGACTATTTATTTTATTTTTTAGGGCTTTTGAAAAAAAAATTAACATAAACATTTTGCCTCCTCGTTTTCCAAACCTAGACATTTGAAAGGTTTTCTTTTTTATTCTGTCTTTTCTTTTTCTAATTGAAGTCATATTCTCAATTTTCTCTACCAACAAAAACTCTCACTTGTTGCTGTTATTTGATATTCTTTGTTTGCCGTCAAAAATTTCATCAAAGCATCAAAAACAAGTTATTTCTTTTTTACTTGGTCTAATTTGCATTGATGTTTTTCAATATGAATATTATTGTTTCATTTTGTTGATTAATTGATATGGAAAATAAATAATTAAATTTGATCATTTTCTATAAAATTGGGTCTTTTAGTTTAACAAATTGAGATAGAATGGGTATGAATGAAGCAATTTTATACTTTTATGAAGTAATTTATTATAGACTGGTAATGAAGTTGTTGTATATTGGAGATAGAAATTGGGATGAATATATATTACTGTAATAGTCGTTGAAAAAAATTATGGAGATAGAAATTGGGTTTAAAACTATGCACAGTTTTCTGTAAATTATATAGTAAGACAAAGTTTTTCTGTTTTTTATTAATTTAAATTATACAACAAAGAAAAGTTTCAGGATTTTATTAATCTAAAATATATAGCAAAGACCGGAAAGCAAAGTTTCTATTTTTTTTATTATATATGATGATGCACAGTAACGATGATTGGTAGCCTATATGTAATATACAACAACATATTCATATATTTTGGATTTAGATATGCTACATATTTATTTGAATTTATAATTTTCTATATTATTATAGTTACAAATTCCAGGTAATGAATATATTTTTTATAGAAACCGGGTCAAAAGCCACGCGGTCTGACTAGTGACCCATTGGTCCGACCAGTAACCCAGTGACCCAGTAACTTTACCGAGTCGATCACCGGTCTGGGTTTTAAAACATTGCTTTTTTGACTTTTCAACCCTATATTCTCTTACTTATTTAATTAATTACATATATTTATCTAAAGGTGTTCAAAATTATATTTTCCTCTATATGTGTATGTATGAGTTAATAATTTTTTTTGTAAAAAACCGAATTTACACCATTTTATCTAATATATATATATATATACACCTTTAGATAAAATGGGTGTAAAATATCTGATATTTACACCCAATTTTAGATGAAAAAACTGATGTAAAATGTATGAACACTGAGTTTAAACAAATTTACACCTATTTTTGATATAGTTGATTTAAAATGTTAGATATTTACACTAAATTTTAAGGAATTTACTCCCTATTATAGTTAAATCGGGTGTAAAATAAATGATATCATAAATATATAAAAGTTAAAATACCTTGAAAATCATCTATACCTTTCTGAGTTTACGTTCAAATTTTTTTGATTCAATAGTTAAAAGCGTCTTATTAGACCATGTGCAATGGGTATGTTGAGTTTGAACTCAACATGCAAAATCTCCTCCAATGGGTGTTGAGAGAGGTGTTGAGTGTGTGTTGGAAGAGAGAGGTGTTGAGAAAACTCAACACAATTGAAGCTGCCACGTGGCTGTGCTTGATTGGCTGACCAGATTTTTATTCATTTAATACTTTGAACTCAATTATTTCGTTGCAAATTATTTTATTTTTTTATTTTTTTTTTACCAAAATTCATGATTTTTTTTTCTCTATAAATAGAGACTTGGTTCATTTGATTTGGACACAGAAAAAAAAACTAAGTTTTTCACTATCTTAATTTTATTATTAGTGTTTATTTTGAAGTTAAGTGTCTTTTTTTAGTGAAATGGATCCCAATAATCATTTTAACACTCAAAATTCTGCTAATTTTCCATTTAACCAAAATCCCAACAATTTTGTTTTTATTACAAAAAATTAAAAAATAAATTATTAAGTATTTATTATTTTAATTTAATTTTAATCGATAATTGTAATTTTATGTAATCATAAAAATAAAAATAAAATTTAAATAAGAATATGAAAATAAAAAGTGGTGGGGTAGGGTGTTGAGTGAAAAACCATTGGAGAGGGTAAAAGTTGAATGAGTGTTGAGTTATTAGGTGGAAGAAAGAGAAAATGATGTGGAGTGTTGGGAGTTGAAAAAGTGGGTGTTGAGTTTTTCAATCATTGTAAATGGTCTTATACACTTGCTTCAATTATATGCATTTGATAATTAATGTTGCTAATGTGTCACTCTTACAATTTTTCTTTCTATTTTTTATTTTCTTTAATTCTCGATATTTTAAATCTAAGGGACTATTACACTTCAGATTTGTGTGGTAAGCATAATTCCAATTATTTGGGTAATGGAAAGTCACACAGGAAAATGAAAACAACATACCTTTTGATATTAAATTTAACACTCTTTTCAATGCATATAGTAACCAAAAGTCACAGAGAGATGAGAAATTGCCTATCTATTTCTTCTTCAAAACATCATCGAACCTACAAACAAATGAAAACACGATTCAAATAGCTGGGAACAAGTCAAAGTCATCGGAAACACGCTCCACAATGCAACTCTGGTCACCTCCACCATAATGCCTCTATCGCGAGCACCACCGCATCGGAAATAGAAACTCGCCACCACACCATCGGAATCCACTGCAAACTTTAGATCTAACAACCCAGTACATTTTATTTTTCAAATTTCACTTTTGATGATTCTCTTATACTAATTTATGCAATGGATTAAGGGTTCTTATTGTTTTCCTATGTTTTTATGGTACTGCAATTATTAGCTGTAGAAAGGGAAAATGGACAAGTAAGTTACTCTGCGGTTTTATACTTGGTTCTGGAATCAGGTTTGTTTTCAATATTTGTTATTAAAAATAAAGCGTTTTATTAATAAAAACTGCAGATTGAGGTTTTGAATCCTATCACTGGAGTTTCTCAAGCTACAATTTCAAAGCCCAATGATTTAATTGTTCATTCTCAAGAGAATAATATTATTGGTTTGCATCTATTTGGAAAACAAAATCTTGAGATTGATTCTAGGTATGTAAACTAGCTTTTTGAAAGTTTATGATTGGTTTTTTTATTCTAATAGTTATTCTAACTGTAGTTAAATTTCTCTATGAATAATTGAATTTCCTTGCCCATTTATCTGTGTGAATGCAATAGCATATGCATGAATGAGATTTTTGTGTTATTGTTAGGTTACTTTGTCGGCAGATGATCTAACTTTTTTATATAAAATATTTATTATTATGCTATTTTTAGGTAACACTGATATGCTTTCCTTGCTTTACCAGATTGATTGTTGAAATGAATTCACAACATAAACAGAAACTACGGGATTCTAATATGAATTTTGATCTTATATATTTATATTGCAGAATTCGTGTTGCAGCAGATGATATATCAGAACTTTGTTCCTCCTGGGACATATAGTTGCCATCACTCAATCTATGCTACATTTTATCAATTTGATTTATTCAGCTTTCTTTGATACACTTTGAGGCATTTTTAGAGTTTAATAGTTGTTGTGATAGAAGTTATTTTCCTTAACCATATAATCCAACTTCTCGATCTGCCATCAATATTATTCTCAGCGACACTATCAGCCACACCATGGCTACTCACTATTCATGATGCTCTCTCACCTAGCCCCTGATAACACTATTTGGCCTAACTAATTTGGCCATGTTAACATACAACATTATCTCATTATCTAAAGATAAATGGTTTTTTTTGTAGCATGATAATCTTTTTGTAGTATTTGGTATTAATTATTTGTTGTGAGTATCTTACATGGTTGGGATTTAAACCAGTTTCTGCAGGTAAAGTGAGCTTCACATGTTACATACATATGTTGTTTTCATTTTTATAATATGCTCTTATGAATGATATCAAGTTCCTTAAAAATTAGAGCTTATTATTTGGGAAGTCGGAGAAAATGGTGGTTTGTAAAATGTTGAATGGTTTGTACCTGCAGGAATTTTATTAGAACATGTATCTCTATACATTGCCAGAGATTGTTGAATGACACTTCAAATTATGATGAAGGTTCTATAGCATCTGGGGATTACAGTGATGTTATCGTATACGAGATTCAGTTCGAGGTTGCGGACACAAGTGGCTCCTCTAGGGGAAACAATAATTATCGCATGTGCATATATTATTTCTTCTTTATTCACTTTTCCTGTATTGCAATATTACACTTTTTTACATCTCACGACTTTACTTATGCCGAACATTTTCATTGTTTATCTATTCATGCCATGATAAAAAGTTTTGGAACTAAAGCTGGATTTTTTAGAAGCTTTCCCCAAAAAGATCCTAAGCTGATTTTCAGTGTTTCTACGAGAATTTAGATGTTTATTTGGTAGTTATTGTATAGTAATACCTCAATATTTATTTACTTCACATTTGATTATGGAGGAAAATGACCGGTAAAATAGCAAGTGTACTATTTTGCCTCTTGTAATAATAGGGAAAATTCCCCGAATGTCGATCTTAAGGACTGCACAGAATTATCGAGTTTAATGCGGGGTTCAATTAAACGAAACTCAATTTGGGGTTTGGTTTGGTTATTGTTCTTAACACTAATTAAAAATATGCAAATGTAAATTATGACCTTTTTACTAGTGTGAATAGTATGCTAGGGGTGAGTGTGTGGTTTTCCCTGTAATGACCTTCACTATTGATCTCTTCTACAAGTTTATTACCTTCAACTACCGACCCTTTAGATTATTTTCCCCTAAGTCCTTAGTGAGAAAACCTTTAACCATTCATCCTAAATCCCAGATCCTTGGAAATATCTGATGGAGTCAAGCCTTTAACTTATTAAGGGTTAAATCTGATGACTATAGGGTATCCCTAGTCCTAGGTGATATCTACTATAGCCTAATCGTACAAAAATCTTAACAACCGTGGTTCAGATGGTTGTTAACCATAACTGAAACCTAATTGGTCTGATCAGAAAAGCATTAGAAACCTTGAGCGATTAAATTGAAAGGAAACTACTGTATTAAAAATCAATAATTCATAGTCAACACATTCGCAAATCAAGGACACCCCTAGCATTGGGGGTTTAGCCGCACATAATATTCAAAGAGATTTCAATAATAATAAAGATAGACATTACACAAATTAATGGAGAACTCTGATCTTCAATTTCTTTCGCTCATGAAAGGTCTTCGTTCCCCCAAAACTTGCATAGACTTCAATCTTTATTGTCCAATTCTCCCGTTGTCCAAAACTCTTCTTTTTCTTCTCCAAATCAGGTATTTATAGTGTCAGGTCATCCCTCTGATGCCAAATGTCCAAAGTACCCTTAATGATCCAAGAATACAGGGAAATCTCAAAATTGAACTTTCACATGCCTAAGCTGACATGGGCCATGTCACCGAACACGAGCACCCGTGTTAGAATCTGTGATTTGCGCTATTTAATTTCAGGTTCCAGCTAAATTGACACGGGCCGTGTCATGGGACACGGGCGCCCGTGTCGCCTTTGGTCCTTCCTCCCACAATTCATGCATAAGCTAACTTAACACGGGCGCCCGTGTCGCCTTCTGCCTTGCTCAAATATGAACTTTTTCCAAATCTCTCAATCCTGCACTTTTCTGTCCCGATTTGTCCTGTTTTATTTGGTTGAACTTAATAACACTAAAATACAAAACCAAAGCATAAAATGCGGTAAAATGAAATAAAACACCAATCAATTAAACGAAACGATAACTAAAATAAATGCTAAATTCTTGTGTAAAAACCACTGGTCAAACTCCTTCAAACTTAAACCGTTGATTGACCTCAAGCGACCGTTACAAGAACCCATGAAAATCACAGTAGCTCGATACTCATACGTGAGACATCCGTTCAAATTAATCAAAAATTAGTCCATCTGATGTTCACTTGACGCGAAGAGTTTGCTTAAGAATCTTTAAATTTAGAGTTTCTTCTTCATATACCTCTCTAACTAAGCTTTATACTTAAGTCTCTTTCCGATTTTCCTCCCTTTTCATTCGGACAGTCAAATTAAGGCAATGATAATTATAAATGATCATCACACGCACAAGACTGATTAAGAGAGATTTTTGCTCAGGCACCAAATAAGAGCTTTTGCTCCTTTATAAATTCAGATGAAATTTTCAAAACTTTTCAGTTTATATATTGTCCTTTATGGACGACGTTATGGGATCAACCCCCTTTGGGCTGAATAACCTGGTGAGGACTACCCAACTTAGTGAGCCAGTTTCCTTTTACCGTCTTTTCATCATTTGGTTCTAAATTTATTTCTTTCTCCTTCATTCGTACATGCATGTGAATCTATGTTATACCAGACTGTGAGGATAAACTACTTCGGGAGTACTTCTCATGATTTAAGCACTATGGTACAAATCCACACATTAGACTCATATCCTGTCACGTTATTTTGAACTTCCCACCCTTGAATAACCATCCCTTTGTCTCTATATACTATTCCCGAACTCTATGAGACTCAAGTTATTGGTCAAAATAAAAAAAATTGGCCAATTTGAAGGACTTCAACTCATGGATTTACACATCAATTTGCAAAGCACTAACAAATAATTCGGAATGAAGAAAAGCAATAACACCCCCCCCCAACCCAAACTTGACCTGAACATTGACCCCAATGTTTCAGAACAAGCTTGAGAAGGTGACTCACAGAGGGTAATGCAACACATGTTGCAGCCTCCTAGCTCTCACCAGTAAGACTCCCTTTTTATTATCTGCAAATAAAAAAAGAAAAATTAAGTTATTAAAAGCATGGATTGCCTCCCACAAAGCGTTGCGTTTAACGTCGCATGGATTATCGGGTCATCCCCTTATAGGGGGTACTTCCTCTTTCACACCTTGTTGCATGTTTCTTCCGCAAACCAGAACTCGTTCAGATCAAAAGTGTCAACCCATTTGTGCTTCCAGCCACTTCCAACTTCCATCTTTTCAGCTCAGTGTTCCTTTTTCTTTTTCTTCTTTCCTTGTTGACTACGCTTAGGAATTTTTATTGATGCCACTTGAGAAATTTTTCCTGAGACCTCTTCTGGGAGTGACTTTGAATTGTTGTCTTCTCCATCTACTTTGATCATTCCGATTGAAGATTTATCCTTTCCACCTGTAACCTGCTTCTTGATTTCCAATACCTTCAAGGTTATCACCTCATTAAATGATTTCAATGTCAGATTACCTATCTCGATATCAAAATTACATCGACTCATCAACATAAACGGTCGACCCAAAATGATAGGAGTCTCTTCATCTTCCGGTATGTCCATGATTTGAAAATCAACTGGGAAAACAAAATTTCAAATCTCCACTAGGACATCTCCAGCTATCCCATATGACTGCTTGATGGTGTGGTAAGAAAATTTCAATTTTGTTCCATTTCCGCTTATTTTCTTAATACTGAACTTCTTGAAAATCGATAATGGAATTAAACTCACACTCGACCCAGAATCAACCAGAACCCTCTTGAAAGCTCTGTCTTTTATTATGCACGGTATTGCAACTGACCCCTGATCCTTCTGCTTGACGGATGTTTTTCTCTCTGGCACAATTGTACACAAATTCTCATCAATTGGTACATGTCCATCTTCTGTTTTTCTCTTTTTGGAAAGTACCTCCTTCATGAATTTCTGGAACAAAGGCATTTTGTCGAGTCCTTCAAAGAACGGTATGTGAATTTTTAGCTTTTTGAAAATTTTGACAAATTTCTCAAAATCTTTTTCTTTTGTGTCCTTCTTTGCCACTTGAGATGGATACGACAACTTAATTTCTGGTTTAGTCTTCTCTTTAACTGGCTTTGCAGGTGATGCCACTTCTTCCTTTTTTTCTTGTTCTATCTCACTTCCAGCTCTACTTCTATTATATTATCGTCAAACTTCACCTTATCTGGTTTTTCTCTATCCACTTTCTCACTCCTTGTTTTGACATCATTCACATTCTCATGACTTTTCTATCTTTCTTGTGCTTGCAGAGCTACCTGTTGTGCAATCTATCCCATTTTAACTTCCAAATTTTTTATTGCAATTGTGGTATTTCTATGATTGTTCCTTGTCTCTTCTTGAAACTGAGAGGTCTGGGCAGCCATCTTTTCAATAGCCACCTCCCACTATGCCTTCTGAGGATCTTGTTGCTGCTGATCTTTCCAGGAGAAATTAGGATGATTCTTCCACCCAGTATTGTAGGTGTTAAAATATGAAATTTTTTGCCTCAAGAATTTTATCCCCTCAATTTTCTGTGGTGTTGCAAGACATTGCACAATAGTGTGCGGTCCACTACAAATTTCATAAGCTATCTTATGTATCTGTTGAACATGAGCTACCTGTTGAGTATCCATATTCATTGCTTTCAGCTTTTTCTCTACTTCTACAGCAATGGCTTATTCAATTTTTAGTTGCTGATTGGTTTCTAATTTCAGATCAATCACTCCCTCTGGTTTGCTTACAGCTCTGTCATATAGCTCCAGATGCTCATTTACAGCAATTGCTTCAATAGTTTTCTTCACACCAGTGGTTGTTGCAAAGTTGGCTGAGCCACCGGCTGCTGTATTAATAAGCTGCTTTGTCTTTATTCAGAGGCCATTTACAAACATCTGTATTTTCTAAGTTTGACTCATGTTGTGCGTTGGATAGGCTACTAGTAACCTATTGAATCTCTTGTAAACATCACCTAGTGACTCTCCTTCTTTCTGCTTAAAATTCACAATTTCATATCTTTTTACGAAAGTAAATAGAAGCAGGAAAGTACTCATCCAGAAAAGTCTGCTCCATCTGTTCCTAAGTGGTGATACTTCCAACAGGCAATGAGTAGAATCACTCTTCAGCATCTTCAGACATCGTGAACAGGAACATCCTTAATTTCTTAGCTTCTTCAGAGTGCCCCTCAATCTTCAAAGTAGTGCCCATAGTGAGAAATCTCTGCAAATGCTTATTGGCATCTTCATTGATCTTTTCGGTGAATAATTTGTTCTCGAGTTGGAGGATGGTTGACAGATGCAGTTGAAAGTTTACAACATTGACCGGTTGATTTACAATAGTCAACCTACATGCTGGAGCATTTGCTCCTCCGTAGTCCCCAAGAAGTCTCTCTGGTGGCAGATTTTCAGCCATTGGTTTTACCTCTTCAGACTCTGAATCTGAAGGATCTGAAGAACTTGTTGACTCATGTCTATCTAACCGAGCTAGTATGCGCCTCGCGTGAAAAGTTCTTTTTATTTCTGCATCAAACTGAAATTTAGCTGAGGACTTTCCTCGCATGCAAAGGTTAGGAAAAATCAGTAAAACAAAAATATGGAAATTACAGAAAAGGAATTTTAGTTGTAGAGCAACAAAATTTTAATTGAACTCCAA